TGGGACATAGAGATTTGGGCAAGTAGGAAAAGAGTGGTGGTAGTAATAATGGGGCGTGGGCGTTAGGGGGTCTGGCCTGTGGGTGTGTGTGCATGTGGTTAAGAGCCTTTGCAATTAGGCGATATGTTTTAGAGAGAGAAACCGAGAAAAAGAGAGAGGAGAGAGAGAGAGGTGGCGCTATGTGCGCTGGACGTTTGTACTCAATTTCTTCGAGTGGCGTGCGCCACTCTTCGCTCTTCTTCACACAGACACCCGCCTCCTGGTGAGGAGAGAGAGAGAGTTGAATACTTGAATTTGTGGAATGGAAGAGAGAAAAGCAAAGACCGAAAAGAAAAGGTCTAATTGAGACGCTAGTGAATTGCCCTGAGTGAAAACAAAATTTAGTCTGTTTAGTTTGTTAATTTGAGTTAAGATGTGATTTTATGTGAATATTTTTTACTGTAATAAAAAAATTAGATGTAACTGTTTCTGAGAACTTTTTACTATAGTAAAATTTGAATTCTAAACTCGAATCGGTGAAATAAATGAGACCCTAGTGTTACGTTTAGAATAAGAATTCGTGGTTCGTTATAATATTTTTTCTTATAAAAAATACACATAAATTAAGAATAATCTTAAATTATAATTTTAAAGAGATTGCTCCTAGTTCCCCCGTTTATAAACACTTTATATAAAAGAGAAGAAACCCTGCTGGATTCTTACTTCTAACCAATGACAAGTTGAGCCTGAAAATTATTTTTTCTCTTTTTATGATTAAAAAAAAAGAGAAAAATAAATTATTGGTGCTCTTTGTCTATAATAAAAATTTTGAACGAAAAAAGTAAAATCCAATTCTAATTCAACTATGCGCTCAATAAAGAAATATCGTTTGTGTATGAATTTATTTTTTCTTTTATTATTTCAGGAGTTATGTGGTAGATACAAATTTTGAAGATCACGTTACATTTAAATTAATTTAAAAACTTTAATGGAAATATTATGGCTCAACGACTATTTTCCGTCATTTGAGCTTTTTCATTTTACCGTCCCGTGAAGTTTTCTTATGGTTCAAACGTGTCTGAGCACTTTTTCTCAAGTACGTGCTAGTAGTATCTAATGTTCCGTCTTGTATTAGTTACATGAAATTTATGCAAAATTCCGAATAGCATAGATGACAGAAATAAACATGTTTGGAAATAATAATGCCACTGCTCTTCGGTCTCTCATTCCTGATTTCCTGTCGTCCAAACATTACATAAACATTGAACTAATTAGAAGGCAACTTTTATACGGTGGGCGTTTGATTAAATTTTTAAAGGTTAGATATGTACAGATTTGTGTTAAAAATTTATAATGTGTCACACATAATGTCCTTTCTACAAATTTAACTGTGAAAAAAAATAATTCAACGGTCAAAAATAAAAACTCCACTCGTGAAAGTTTTTTTTTTTTTTTTTGAGTTCCACAGTAGAAGTTGTCTAAGTAAACACAAACAGTAAAAACACGACCTAAAAGTGTGAAATTACTCATGCAGTTCGCAAAAGCCATAACAGACAGTGACATTTGGCATTAAAAAAAAAACGACCATTTCCCAATTTCCATGGTTTTCAACTAGGGCATGACTGGACACCCCACTAAGCAGGCATATTTTTCCATTTATCTCTGTCGCAACAACAAATTGTCTACAAACCTCTCTGCGTTATAAGTTGTGCGGATCCTTTGTGAATTGTGATTGATATGGCAGAGTTTATGTAACTCCTCAAAAGAAGATATATATGTCCAAACAAGCCTTTACAACTAAAGCCACTGCAAAGGGCAAGAACAAATTTGAACTTGTGCCGGTCGATATTCTCCAAGTTTTAACAGAACCATGCAATTATTCTATAGTAATATTCAAATCACAAATCACATTACAGATTCCTGTGTCACGTGAGGCAGAACACTTTTTTAGGTTTTTTTTTTTTTTTTTTTTACTTTTTTTTTTTTATGGGGATCAAGTAAAGAACTAAAAAAACCCCAAGGTTCAACTTTAAGCTCTCTGCCATGTTTAAAGAAACCTATTGGTCTGGAATTTTTTAGCCCCTTTAACCTGCTTTATCAAAAAATTTTAAAAAATAATAATAATTACAATCTTTTACGTGAAATGAGGTTTTCCTTGAAATCCCAATTCTTCTCAACACTTTTTAGCTTGGATTTCAAGGATTTACTTAAAAAAAAAAAAAAAAAAAAAAAGGCATTCATGAAGAACCAAGCTTTGATCAGCATTTCTGATGAACCACGCAATACTTTTTTTTTTCCATATAGAACCTAGTACAATAGTACTATTCTCGTAACGTATAGATGAGCAGTTCATCATCATTCTTTTTCTTTTAATGGAATCTTTGCTGTAATTAGAGAGGAAAAGAGTTGAAATGATGAATTACAAATGGAATCTTTTACCAATAATTTCAGGGGCACAATAAATCTTGGCCTTCTCGATTAGGCCACACACGTAGGATGCAGAAACGTTGGAAAACCATTGTCTAGTGGGACCCCCTCAACCAAAAAGATCACTGTTCGTCTGTTCCCTTGCAGCCCATATGATTTTTTTTTTTTTTTTTTTTTGGCTAATTCAGTTCCTAATAATTCCTATCCCAGACTTTGAGTCTTTTGACCATCTTTATATTGCTGTCTTTTTCAATGAAATTGTATTTTCTTTCATCTTCTTTTCAACCAACCAATAAAGAACAAGAGATGCACACAAAAAAAAAAAGGAAAGAAAAGAAAGAAAGAAAGAAAGAAAAGCTCCAAATTGCTCCTTAAAATCTGAAGAGGAGTGTCCTTTATCATGTTGCCAAGTAATTTTGTTTTTGGCTATTAGAAATGTTAATTTATCAATCCATTTTAAAAAGTTAAACTATTAGGAGGTGAGTTAATAATAGTTTTATACTTTAACATTCTTCCTCATGGGTTGGACAATAAATAATTGGGTAAATTAATTAGAAAGTTTAACACATAAATATTTAAACTCGATATATATTAAAGACCTTCCGACACATAATAATAATTTAAATGGGAATAAAAAGTGTAATTACGGAGGTTTGAACTCAATACCTCCCGGTTAAATACCATGTTAGTTTACCGATCCATCTTAAAAGCTTAAATTATTAAAAAACATACCAATAATAATTTTATAATGGGGAGCCAGTCTTGCTATAATCCTTTGCAGTAAAAAACAGTAGAGTCAATAATACAGTGCAAGTTGTTATTTTATTTTTATTTTTTTTTTGAAAGCTATGAAAGTTTGCGTTAATTCACATCGGAAAGAATGAAAGGAGACAAAAACGACTTTTGCATTGTGGACCTGTGGTTGATTTAAAATGATGTTACTTTCAATCTTTTAGAAAATAAATTAAAGTTTCTAATCTTTTGGGGGGCTATATATAAATTTGGTGTGTATATAGGCTTTAAAAAACAAAAATTGAGGGGGCTTTTTAATCTTTTAGGGTGTTATATATAAAGTTGGTGTATACATAAACTTAAATAACAAAAGTTCAGCCCCCAAGCCTTCATTGGCTCCGTCCCGGCCCATTCACGGTCTTGATAAAGAAGTCAACGCTTTTGTGGGTTAATTTTCAGTTAGAAAAATAACACCATTGTAAATAATAATAATAATTATTTTATCTTTTTTATATACTATATTTATATTTATATTTATTTAGAAAGTATAATATCGATTTTTAATCTTATTAAAAATATACCTTTGAATTACATTTAAATTTATACATTTTTTGGGTATGTTGACTTGTGAAATGATCAAATTATTCTTAATGGGAGTTTGTATATGACGTCTATCTCTGTTTACAATCTCCTCACAAGGATAATGTGGCTCACAAGTTAATATCAAGTTTTGATTATGAAAAGGTATGGATTTATGTATTACTTGTAATATAAAGGTATACTTTTTTAGAAGATTTTTTAGTACGCTACGCGTACCGGTAGGTCAGATATTTTTAATGGTTAGATATGTGTACTTTTTAATTTTTATGTGATTTCACGCATATTGAACGGATAAAAAATTTGGCCTACTAGTACATTGGCGTACCGGAGAAGGTCCATATTTTTTATGAGAATAAAAATTGATGGTGTACTTTTTAAATAAACATAAAATGTGTGGTGTAAAAAATTAAGAATTATTATCACTGGCGCTCTTGAACTTTAAGGTCATTCTCAGTTTGCCCTCTGAATTTTAAAAACTATCACTTTACCCCCATAAACTTTAAATTGTTCCCACTTAACCATCTTTTGTTGTAATTTCAATTAAAAAAGATGAAAAAAAGAGAGTAATGTGGTCATGTGGTCTTTATGTTTCAATTTTTGTTAAAAATAAACAGATAAAAACCATATGGACATACTTAAACTATTTTTTCCATATGAGTTTAACATAAATTCTTACAAAAAGGCTTAAGGGTGACAAATTTGAAATACAAATGTCAAAGTGAGAGTTTCAAAGTTTAGAGTGCACGGTAAGAATTACCTCAAAATTCAAGAGTACTAGTAAGATTAATCCAAAAAATAAATAACCTAATAATAATTTAAAGTTCATAGTAGTTGAAAAAAAAAAATAAAGGGTTAATCTCACAAATAGTTCTTGAGATTTACCATCAATCACACTTTGGTTATTGACTTTTAAATTATCTCACAGTTGATTTATGAGGTTTTATTCTATTTCAATTTCGGTCATTTTATCAGCTTAGTGTTAAATATTTGACCAAAGCTGTTAAATTTGGGACCAAAATTGAAAACATATAAATTCAATGACTAAATCAACACAAAAAATAAATTTTAATTTCCACAAATAGTCTCAAAATTTTAACCGTTTTTAATTTTAATCTATAATTTACACCGATTTCATCAAATTATAATGCTTAGTTAATAGAAGGATCGACTGAAATTGAAATAAAATAAAACTTTAAAGACTA